TACACCTGCCCTGCCCGACTCTGCGCAAACAATCCTGCTCTAAATATGTAAAAAGATTTTTACTATGTCGTCAATATTTTTACTTATTAATAAAACTATTTAAATAGTGCCTCTTGTGTCTACTGCAGTCCGCATAAAATACACACATACCTGCAGCTACCTAGAAACTGTGCTTGAGGATGTGTGCTAAGCTTAATTTTAAACCCTTTTGTGAGATCATCACAGTTCAACTTTTCAGGACTCTCAGTCACCAACAGCAGGACTGCAAGTCACAGTGACGTGTACTGTGGGTGGAAAACACTATAAAGGACCACTGGCCACCTGTTGAAGTTTAAGGCCAAACTCCTCCCTTCCCAATATAACAGTTCACAACACATTAACTGTAATCACAGCCTATCCATTGAACCTACTTGTGCCGAGAGCCTAGCTACATTTACAACAAGTCTTAGGGAAGCATTTCAGGTCCCATCAATTTAACTGCCAGCCACAGTAAAGTGGAGGATTCTTCTCAGCATTATGAGCAGCATGTTTCAGGAGATTGTTGCCTTTTTTTTCTCTACTGCTGGTTGGATACTGGAGTCTTCTACCTTGCCGACTGACTACTGGAAGGTGTCTTCAGATGATGGATCAGTCATTACCACAGCTTCCTACTGGGCAAATCTTTGGAAGACCTGTGTGACTGATTCAACAGGAGTATCCAATTGCAAAGAATTTATCTCGATGCTGGCACTGGATGGTCAGCTTCTGTTCTCATTATGCACTTATCATTTATCTTGGATTTTACTAGTATACTCGATTAAGTTAAACCGTTGGTCTCAACTTCTGTTTATTTATTGTTAGTGTATGTATATATATATGTTAGTATGGTTATTAATACCATAGTATATGATAGCATCTTAAGACTTTTCAAATGCTCTTTTAACCTAATTTTCTGTGTTTTTATTGATCCTTTCACAAGTTCACATGGTTAAACCTCTGCTCTTTTTATCTCTAAATCATTTTTTGAAAATTCACGTTGAAGCTTATTGCTACATTGGAATAATACAAACCCTAAAGCCAGTCTCCAACTCATTTACCGTCTAATATGTCAATGTTTAGCCTTAGTTCTCAGAACTTGAAAACAATAAAGAAGATTTACTGGGAACCTCAGGTAGTTTTGTTCACGGCTGACTAGTTTCAGTGGTTAGCTTCCAAGCTAATGTTTGCCTCGAAATTACATTTCAATGGCATTTTTTTTCACCCAAAGAAGCAGACACACTAACACAAAGTAGCAGAAACCACTTAAGGTTACTCATGACAAATTGTTTTAGTGCAAAAAGACTCCTGTGGTTGCATTTAAGTAGTAAGATTTTTGTTTTATGTCTGTAGGTTACCTCATAGCTTGCAGGGCACTCATGATTTCCGCCGTCATTCTGGGCTTTTTTGGCTCTATATTTGCCCTTGTGGGAATGAAGTGCACAAAAATTGGAGGATCTGACAAAAACAAAGCGAGGATTGCCTGTTTTGCCGGTGTGCATTTCATTCTTAGTGGTAAGTATAGATGAACCATTTGAGCAAGAGCACATTCAGCAGTTTAAGATAATTAACATTTCCCTTTTTACTCAGGCCTGTGCTCACTCTCATCCTGCTCCATCTATGCGCACCGGATAACATCAGAATTTTTTGATCCAATGTTTATCGCGCAAAAGTAAGGAGCATGTTTGCCCTACAGAGTCTTTTAATGTGGCTTGACTTATTAATAAACATTACCATTAAGTATTACTGTTTGTCTCTAGGTATGAACTTGGAGCTGCTCTCTTTATTGGCTGGGGTGGATCTGTTCTCTGTATTCTCGGGGGCACCATGTTATGCTTCTCCATTGCAGGTTCTTTTACCAGTAGGTTAGTGTGAGCTAAGTAAGACTTACGCATGAGCACATTTTACAGGCCACTGTTTGTTGAATTATATTGGTTTTTGGCATGTAAAAATGAAGCTATGTCTTTTTCTTCACAGCAAAAGAGAGGTAAACTATATCTACAGAGGCGCTGCCTCACATTCTCGTATCTCCTCCTACCCAAAAGGGCAGGCGAAGTCTGTAAATCAGAGGCTAACTCCAGACAACAGCACCTCCTCCAGGATCCAGCACTTTGATAAGAATGTTTATGTGTGACAAATGTGAATACACTTTTGGTTAAAGCCACGGGTGGGTACTAGAAGATATATTAATTGTTAATTATAGCACAGTCTATGTGACTTTGTGGTGTTGGTCAAACAACAGCTGAATGTACTGATATTGATTCATATCTCACCAGGAAATCAGTGTCAAATCCTTACATGTTTTTTGAAGCTGGATCTTTTTTTCTTTTTTTTTTATGATACAGTTTACTCTCTGGACTTGGGGGGGATCAATAAATCAAAAACATTTGGCCCACAACAGAGATTTCTAATCAAATTCTTGCATAATTTTCTATTTTTGGAGCTTTTTTATGGCGATGAGCACATTCTCTTTATGTACAAAATTGGTTTTGTTGGTTATGTCTTTAGCTGTATGTAGCTTCTGCGTGTCTGTCATTAATCTGTAATGACCGTAATTAAAATTATGACAGACACCCATTTATCTTGTTGAATATGACGTAACCATAAACAACTTTTGTAATGTACAAACTTGTAGAGGGTAACAAAACATGGTGAAATGTTGAGTGAATTATGAGCATTCTTGGTTCCTTAGCACATAGCTCTGTTTAGTTAAAACATGTTAAAGTAAATACAACTAAGTTGCAGCAAATTCTGTGTCTGTGTTTTTTTTTTTTAATTTTTTGGTTTTTTTTAAGTGATTACCTCAGGTCAACAGAGTATTATTATGAGCTATTCTGTCATCTCCCCTTTACTATTCAAATTATGTGGTAATATGTTAGAGAAACGAGCAAGGTGCAAACATGATGAAGCCTTTTAAGTACATCTAAATATTGCTACAGCAATAATCAGTACAGTCGTTTGAAATATCTAAAGGAGAAGGTATGATCCAAAAAGCTTACAGTAAACACAGCATGAAGTGGTACAGAGCCCTCATCAACACATGACACTTATGACGTAGTTAAATGGACACCCGGGCCACATTTTACTTGAATCTAGAGCAGTAGAACAGTTAGTGAGCCAGAGTAGACGTCAATAGATTTTCTTCTTCTAAGGTCAGCACAATCCATTAAACCTGCATTAGCAGGCTTCTTGATTTCCACAATGAGAAAACGTCTGATCCAAATATCTGGCTTCTTGATTTCATCGTTGGGATGGCTGTTTGTGCTCTGCACCATGGCAATGGACTATTGGAGGATTACCAAAATCGGAGGGCAAGGAGGCTCGTACATCATCAAAGTGGCCTGGTACTGGTCCAACCTGTGGAGCGACTGTTACACAGATTCTGCGGCTGTGACCAACTGTAGAGAATACCCAGTGCTCTGGAATGTTGCTTGTATGTTGCATTTGCCTCACCAATAATTTTTATATAGATTATATACATGCAGTCAGGTGATCAGTCATTAGTAATTTTTTTAAGTCTCATTCTTCAAATAATTGTACTCCTGACTATAATTCTGCCTGTTAATCTGTCACTTTGAATAGTATAGCCTAGTTTTGCAATGCTATTGATTAACAAGTAGAGCATGCTGTTGTTCTGGATCCATATTAAAAGTTGCGTTGACTTTGCACCAGTTCCTAAAAGGGATACTATAACTCATTTGAGGAAAAAAAGGTCAGATATTTGGAAATTTTTAGAAACGTCTATAAAATACCCTTCAGACTTGCTTTAATATACTTAACCTTTATTTGCTAATGCTAACTTTGAATATATAAAGAATAAGAGCTTTTCTCAGTGAGCTCACTTTATGACTTGGCACTGATTTTGTTAAACCTCCAATTCTGGCGACAGTGGCAGCTGTTCATAAAAGTTTACCTATACCCAATTTTTTTGTAAACATATATTTATTGGATTTTGCATTCATAAATATCCAACACTTTAAAGTTCTTCAACATATGTTCTTATTGTAAGAAAGCAATAAGAACACAAGACACTCAAAAAAGAAATAGCCCCCCCCGCAAAAAAAAAGGAACCAAACTGAAACAAACAAAAGACCAACAAACAAATAAAACAACAAAAAAGAACAAAATACAAAATAAAAACAGTTCAGGTTACGGTATACATTCCCAAATTTAGTTACATATTTTCCATTACCTTACTCTCTCTCCACCTTCTCAACTTCCCCATTTTTAATAGCTCCAGAAACATCTTCCAAATGTCAAAAAATTCTGAAGATCTTTTCCTAAATACACATGTCAGTTTCTCAAGAACTAAACTTCATGTTACATTGTTTAACCATTGGCATACTGCACTACACCGTTTGCCCTGGAGTAAGTAAAGGTCAACCATCTTCCTCTCTGTATGAGCTAAATTACAGTCATCTGGATAAATGCCTAAAATACAGACCTTAAGACTTAACACTATATTTTAACACTGAGCACCAAAACTTTTGAATCTTTTACGTACACCCAAATTAAGGTGTTTCCATATTCCTTAAGTCAGTTGATTGAAGGTCATGGTCTCCCCGTGACCATGTATCAGATAGGCAGAAGAAAATGGATGTTTGGTTGGATTCAACAAAATATATAATGTACCCTGATGGGTTTAAAAATATTATTATTGCGTCTATAAATTCAATCTTCAAATATTCTGGACTTTCTGAAGACTGCTAAAGAATACTTACTTGTACAATATTCTTCAACCATATCCAAAAGAGGGATTTATTCATATTATTATTGACTCCCAGATTCAATGAAATAAAAAGACTGTGTGCAGCATTATGTCATCCAAGCATCACCAAGCATCTGCTGATTGAATCTTTACAAATCTGAGAAAACATTGCAGAAACTGTTGTAGATCACAATCTCTGCACTGCATAGCCGTTTTTAGAGCTGTTTTATTTATACTGGTCTGATTTGATTCTCATATCAACCCCGTGTTGTTTTTTATTTTTTCTCATTTTCTCTTTTCTGAACTCTTTTTGATTTGAACAGATTACGTGCAGGCAGTGAGAGGATTGCTAATGTGCGGGTTAACTATTGGATTCTTTGCTGTAGTGTGCTGCTTTGTTGGGATGGAGTGCACTTATATCGGTGGATCTGACAAAACCAAGGACAAAGTGCTCTTTGCAGGAGCAGCGCTTCATTTTGTTGGTGGTAAGCTTTGAACATACGCCGTGCTTCTCTCTGTAAATGTTTTGCCATCATTTATTTTCCTCTGTTCACCGAAACCTCTTCACGCAGGTATGTCAGACATTGCTGCCTACTGCTTATACATCAACAGAATTGCCAGGACAGCTTTTGCTCGAAAGGTCGCATCAGGAGTTTTGCGGTACTGTTTTTCCACTCCATACACCATTTTACATAAAATCTTTTCAAATTATAGACATATCTGCTATAAATTTTGCAGTAACTTCTATTATTTAAATGATATCATGATTTTCTCCTTGTCCTTTCACTTCTTCCAGATATGAATTAGGATCTCCAGTTTTTCTAGGATTGGCAGGAGGCTTTTTCATCCTAGTCGGGGCTGTTCTTTATACTGTGACAGTGTATAAAGTAATCCGCAGAGAAAGGTACCTAAATTATTCCACTTTAATCCCTTTTCTTGTCTCTACCACCACTACATCATATAATTAACATCATCAATGTTTTGAATTTTACAGCAGAGTAGTAAAAGCCTGTGATGCTCACACGTACATGGCGCCTCCATCCAGAGGAAGAACCATTTATTCCGGATACTACAAACCCTCCAAGCTGTATGGGTCTAACTATATGGGCTCAGGACGATCAAGCGCCCAACTTTCAAAGCTTCAGGCAACACCAACAAAACCCTCAGACAGAGATGCATTTGTGTAGTTGGTCTGTTTTAACTCAAACAGACATTGCAATAGTTAAAATTGTAGATAGGAGGAAAGTAATTTTTTGTCATGTTTTGTTTCCTTTAGATCGCCTCATACTCAGTCATATTCACCTCGTGAATAAAACAGATGTGCAGTCTTAGTCTTGTGTTTGTACCAGTAGTTGTCATAGTCTTGTGTTTACACTTATGTTATAATTGCTGTGATTTAACCAAAAGCATTTTCTGTCATTAAGAATCTCATTGAAACACCTATGACGATGAACTGATGTATAGATCAATTAATATATCAATATCACTTTGATCACCACTACACTGCTCAGTTTAAACCTTCGATAATGATGTCCAATATTTTATTGGCAAAATCACACCTTTATAAAGATATTAGTGCAATTATTATGCATTTCATCCAAAGAAATGAGTCTTCTCCTTGTTTTATGTGTAAAGTAAGAACTTAATGGTGCACAAAACTAAAACTATTCTCGTCGGGAGACTGAGTATCAACAACAGCCACGCTGACGGAAATGATCTTTCCAAAACAAACAGGTGCAGTCTGAGGCATAACATGTTATGGTGTTCTCTTGTAGTTGTGTGTCTGTGTTTAAGTGTGTATAAAGGGGACTTGGAGAATTAAAAAAAAAAAAAAAAAAACAAATGAAAGATAGAGGGCTTATAACTTGCATGGAAAACAATGGCCACAATGTTCATGGTCATGTGTAAACCTGTGTATTTATACAGAGGTCAACAGATGAAAAGTGGCACTGTACAAGATTTTAAACTTTATTTTGAATGGCTTAAATAAATGTTCTCTGAATGAGAAAACTTGTATTTTGACTCCTTATTCTTTGACTATATAAACAACACCATCCTGCAAGCTAACTTCAAAATATAATTAAAAAATGAATGTATAAATTACATTATTAATCATAGCTGTTAATTAATTAATGTGTATATTACTTGAATTTTGCAGCTGGAGATGATTTTAGTGAACTTCATACTGCTGATAAGTTTTATATATGCTTATATATGAGTAGATGTGTATTAACATTAAAAGGTTAAGTATGTAAATAGTATGGATTCATTAGTGCATCACTAATAATTCAGGTAATGAAATCCTAGAAGGCTTATTATTTATTTATTATTTATACAGTTCCTTCTCAAGTAGCGTTTCAAATAGAGAAATGTTTTGTCACGTATCTAAGTGACTTCTTCAGGGGGCGGTGCCACTGCATGCCCTCCTCTATTCAGCACGTGAGAAGGGAGTTCAAAGAAGACAGTTCTGGAAAAAAAATGCACTGTGGTTTGTGTTAAGGAGCTTAGATTTGTTAGTAGTCTGTCTTGGTGCTGAAATCTGAAGCAATAATGGGTTATAGGACCATGGTGATGTACATGGAGATAGGCTGCTTTGTAGTATGTGTGTGTGGATGGATTCTGGTCTGCTCCACAATGCCAACAGATATCTGGACTTGGTCTGAAGTCAGCAACGTGGTCCTGGCAACATCAAACTACTACTCCAACCTGTGGAAGGACTGCATATCTGATTCAACTGGAGTATCTGACTGCAAGGGAATTCCCTCCATGCTGGCACTGAACTGTAAGCAAATCGTCTCTCAGAATACCGTAAATTAATGATAAAAACTCAGTGAACTTAGTGCCTTTAACCGCTTTTTATCTGCTTGTGGACAGGGGACATTCACATGTGCCGGGCTCTTATCATCATCTGTATTATCCTGTGTTTCTTCGGATCAATTTTGGTCTTAGTTGGAATGAAGTGCACTAAGATCGGAGGGTCCGAGCTTGCCAATGCAAGAGTAACCTTTGCCGGAGGGATGAACTACCTTATAGGAGGCAAGACAGAAATTTGGTTGAACTGAGTCACGTTGTTATATACTGCACTGTTTAATATTTAAATAATTGTGTGAGTATTGTTTCAGGGATGTGTTCTATGATTGCTTACTCCTACTATGGAAACAAAATAAGAGCTGAATTTGAAGATCCAAACTACATGGAACAGAAGTATGTAGCATATATATATATATGATAAGTCTGCGTACTTGATGACTCACATTTAGATCATTGTTTTTTCCTATGAGGGAGAATTGCACTTGAAATATTCTTGTATTTATTGGCAGGTTTGAAATAGGAGTAGGTGTCTTCATTGGCTGGGGAGGCTCTACCTTACTTATTGTTGGAGGACTTATTTACAGTATCTTTGCAGGAAGAGAAGGGTGTCACTCAAGGTAAAATACCGCTTCTGTGTCATTTGTTTGTTTGTTGTTGTTTTTATAATTAGCCAACCTCAGTCTGCAATACACAATAAGAGTCATGAATACATTTTCGGAATTGTACCTTGACAGCTCAAAGAGGTACGCTACGCACCAGTTCCAAGATGCCTACACATTTGTTCCAACACAAAAAAGCGTTGTGTCTTTGGCTCCCACAGAGATTAGTAGGAGTAAAAAACCAAGGACGATCAGCAGCAGCAGAGCCAGTAGCATCTCAGAGATCAACAGTGTCACCAAGACATCGGTCACTTATTCATATGTGTGACTAACCTACACAGAATTATTTTCTTTATGTTTTTCTTTCACAAAGAATGTGTGTTTTTACTTTGAGAGTCAGTAAATGTCAAATCAAGTATTTGTCTTTACAACACTTTTGTGATTATGAAACCAAAGGTGTTACTAATAATAATACGGGCATCCTGAAAGAATGGAATTTTTTTTTATTGATGGCAACACAGCTTCAAGCTACTTCTGAGAGCTGTTTAAGTTTTCAACTGTGACATGACAGGACATGACATATTTACTACATTCGTTTTTCCACTATCATGAAACAAAATTGTGTTTTCCCTGCATCTGCATCAAGGTGCATCATTTAAAATCAATAAAGCATAACAGAAATGTAAAGTGCACATTTGCGTATGAATGGTGGTGTTTTGTTTGCATATTGAGGAGAACACATTGAACTCGGGTTTTGAGGGGTACCTCCCCAGGGAATTTTGAGTATCAAATGCACCATTTTTTCCCCTTCTGGTTACTTTTTTTAATCAAACAGTTTGTACTTTTTTTTTTTTTTTGAGGCAGTTTATATAGAAATTATCTTTATTCTTAAAGACAATAAAACAATAGAGAGTAATGAGTTGGCAATTTTGTTTAATGAGAGGCTACTTTTTGTCTGTCTTTGGTACGAGCAAATAATGTATTGAACTTCACATACTGTTCATATTCTATACTTTCACAGTATGGTCTGGGTCAAAAATTCCTTCATAATAAGGGTTTACAACAGCTGAACTACACACCTATTTATAATGCATGAATAGCCTATCTGATATTAATAAATGGATGATTAATCCTTTTTTTAAGACAGCAGGTGGAGTGTGCGTTTTAGGTTTTACATAACTCGGTTCTTACGTCCTGTTTTATCTAAGACATGAAAACACAACAGCTATAACAATTTAAATATGTCAAGAGACGCTGTGTGGCAGGCAGGAGTTGGACCCAAAATGCAGGCACTCAGGCACGAGGTTTAAAAACAAAGAACTCAGCTTTATTTGCTGGCAGGGAAAAAGTATACAAAAGCAAACTAAACTAAACTGGAAAATCACAAACTAAACTCACAGGGAGACACAGGGAGATCCACACAGCATGAGGGACAACGTGACACTGACTCAGAGAAACACAGGGTTTAAATACACTGGGAAGTAATGAGGGGAATGGGACACAGAAGGAGGGCACGGCTGGGAGAAATCAGAACTGACGAGACAAGGAAGCAAAGCAGGACACATTCACATAAGACACAGACCTTCAAAGTAAAACAGGAAGTATAACACAGAGATGCGAACTTGAGACAGCGGTGGAGACAGCAACTAAGAAACACAGAGACATAAACCATAAAGCAGAGGACTCTAAGAAAATACACAGAGGGAAATACTAAGCATGGAACACAAGAAACTAGACTCGAGGGAGTAACAAAAGACCAACCATGAGAACATAATTCACAATACAGAGTGACAGAAAACACAAGAAACTCGAAACATGCAAAAACACAGACCAAAAAACACAGACTTACACAGAACAGAGGGGGCACAGAGAAACATGAAGGGCAAGGGATCAAAAATAGAAACCATAGAATAAATCACACGAGCACAAAATACAAAAATCACAAAGAACTATAAACGCTGGGTCAGGAGACCCAGGATCCTGACAAAATATATGAATCTGAAGGTGACATGCAAGTGTTTCCCACACTTATTGAAATGGCAGCTCAGGTGACTTTACAATCTTATGACCCCTAGGCCTAAACCCTAAATCTCTGTTTTAATCTCAGTTCAGGAAATCTCAGTTAGCTAAGAATAAATGGATTTAAATTTTTTGATTGTTAACATTAGCATTAGCATTTGTGCTTGCGCATGCAAAGCAGAAGCACCAACAGCGTCATGTAATATACTTGCATTTATGTGGCACTTTCTAATGTTACTGACAAACTCAAAGTGACTTTAATTAAAGGTCACACTTTAACCATACATTCATACAGCACTTTCAATTCAGTTTTATTTATGTAGCCCCAAATCATAACAACAGTTGCCTTAACCTCTTAAGCCCCAAACCTACCTGATCTCCTGCTTTTTTGCCCCCGTATCAGGGGGCGTTGGGTCTTAAGAGGTTAAGGTGCTTTATATTTTCAGGTAAAGATCCTACAATAATACAGATATATTCCCAACAATCAGATAACCCCCAATGAGCAAGTTCTTGGTAACAGTGGAAAGGAAAAACTCCCTTTTAACAGGAAGAAACCTCCAGCAGAACCAGGCTCAGGTACGGGCACCCCATTTTGTATGGGTGAGGGGCAGGAGACAGAACAAAAAACACCATGGAAGAGAGCCAGAGATCAATAATAATTAATCATTAAATGCAAAGTAGCACATAAACACATAGTGAGTGAAAAAGCTTTATTCTCTACACTCCAAGCACTTTATCTACTTCACATTAACAGCCAGCTTTGCATCACCAATTAGCCTGACATTCATGTCTTTAGACTGTGGGAGGAAGCTGGAGTATCTGGAGAAAACACACATCAGGTACTGGAGCTGGTCAAATATGCAAACACCACACAGAAAGGTCCCAGCCAGGATTGAAACCAGAAGCTTTTTCTGCTATGAGGTGAGAGTGCTAAACACTGGACCACTCTATTTCTGATCTTGCGTCTGTGTCGAGGAATCCTCTGACATCTGTTCTTTATGTGCCTGTATATGATCTTATCTTCTGTGCTGTCTGGCTGTTTCACTTTCGCCCGTCACTCTCTTGCCAAACAGACCAGAAAGTTAAGCAACATTAGTTCAAGAATTATCAACCAAGCAACAACACATCTATAAAGTAGCTCACAACATCTTAATAGAAGATATTATGTGTTCCACGGGGATACTCATGTCCAGTGTGATTTTATAAACTCATAACTGATATTCAAAAAAATCTTTACAATTTTGAGAAAAACTTACAAATTACAATCTTTGCAACAATGACTGCCACTCTCTACTTATCCCTCCTGACTGATTTTCTCAACTTCTGCTAACTGTAGCTTGCACAAATGTCTAGCTTCTTGATGCCTGCACATCAATAATTGGTACTACAGTATTTGTTGTGTTTGCCAGCAAAGTCTTGAGCACGTGGAGGATATACCCAGAGATTGGTCATTACATGTAGAAGGCTCGACAGGGAAACAGGTGTCAACCCAGCTGCAGGACTGACATTTGCTCTTTCGTTTGAGGAGAAACAGGAGGAACATTGCCAGAGCTCTACAATGTGACCTCCAGTGAGCTACTTATCCATGTTCCTGACCAAACTGTCAGACTCTGTGAGGGTGGCATGAGGGTCTGGCATCCTGGAACCTAGTCTCACAGCATTTGGATATCGTGCAAAGAGGTCTGATTTCTTATTCACATTAATCTCAGACAACCAAATACTGTTACTGAAAGATATATACATACATACATTTTCTTCCGCTTACCTAATTCAGTGTCGCGAGGCAGCTGAGATAGGCTCAAGCCCCCCTGCGACCCTGAAATATATATCATAATAAAAAGTTAACTTATACATATACATAATAAAATAAAGTATTTTTCATTTCCCAGTTACTTAGTGAATATCATCAATCAATTAAAATCACAGTTTTGTATCATAATAATCATTTAAGTACGTAAGGAGCCTTCTCCTGCCATTCCATCAGAAGCCTGGGCACCAACAACAAACACAATGACCAAGGTGATCTTTACAAAACACATGGCAGACAGTAAAAGGTTAGACATGTTTTGATATAACCAAGTGTGTCCTCTCGTGTTTGCCTGTGTTTGGGTGTGTTTTTCTGCCTGAATTCAGTAGTTAATGAGGGGGTTAAGCGCAGACAGTTCTGGGACACTGTTTAGGAGCTTAGATTTATTAGTACTCTGTCACATGTGCCGGGCTCTTATCATCATCTGTATTATTCTGTCTTTCTTCAAATTAATTTTGGTCTTAGTTGGAATGAAGTGCACTAAGATCAGAGAGTCCGAGCTTGCTAATGCAAGAGTAACCTTTGCCGGAGGGATGAACTACCTTATAGGAGGCAAGACAAAAATTTGGGTGAACTGAGTCACATTGTTATATACTGCACTGTTTAATATTTAAATAAATGTCTGAGTATTGTTTCAGGGATGTGTTCTGTGATTGCTTTCTCCTACTATGGAAACAAAATAAGAGCTGAATTTGAAGATCCAAACTACATGGAACAGAAGTATGTAGCATATATATATATATGATAAGTCTGCGTACTTGATGACTCACATTTAGATCATTGTTTTTTCCTATGAGGGAGAATTGCACTTGAAATATTATTCTATTTACTGGCAGGTTTGAAATAGGAGTAGGTGTCTTCATTGGCTGGGGAGGCTCTACCTTACTTGTTTCTGGGGGCCTTATTTACAGTATCTTTGCAGGAAGAGAAGGTGCCGCTCAAGGTGAAATTTTTGTTCTGCACCTTTTCTTTTTCAGAAATTTGTCCACATCAATCTACTGCCAATAATAGTAAATGTAAATTTCTTGATTTGTAACCTGACAGCCCAAAGAAATACTCTGAAATCCAGCTCAGTGATTCCGTAATACCAACACGAAAGAGCCTTGTGTCCTGGGCTCCCTCCGAGACTAGTGATAGATACAAATTCAAGGACCACCAAGTCCAGCAGCAGCAGAGCCAGTAGCATCTCAGCAATCACCAATACCACTAAACAACACTACAGCTACTAGCTCATATCACAACAGCATGTCTGGCTTGGTTTGGGAGGGCTTCTAGCTTCTTTTAATTTAAGTAACATCTGTGTTGTTTATTTAGCAAAGCAGTAGAGATCAGTTTGAAATGTTATTTTCTTCCATTTATTTATTAAGGTTTAAACTCTACAATAACACCACCATTAAACAAAACAAAAAAACATAACAAAACAAAACAGACAAAACAAACAACCCGGCTCAAGGATACAAATAAATAAGAAGAAAATCCAGACACTTTGATTGTGAGATACAATTAGCAATACTCATATGTAAAATAGCAGCGACATACATGTATTATACCAGGGCCCGTAAGAAAATAGCAGAAATATCCAAACCGGCATATGCCATAAATGGGTCCCATATTTTATGAAACTTCTTGTCCCTAATAAGCAGTGTTGGGCAAGTTACTTTGAAAAGGTAATTAATTATAGTTACTAGTTACTTCTTCCGAAAAGTAACTGAGTTAGTAACTGAGTTCCAAGATTCTAAAAGTAATTAATTACTTGAAAAGTAACTATTGCGTTACTTTTAAAAAAAAAAGTTTAACCATCTGGGGTCCATGCATGTATAATTGGCCATTTTTAACTACTTTTGATTTTCCCTACATTTCACCTATAAAAACAATTTACTTTGCCTTGTTTGGTATCATTCTTTTCAGCACAACCTCACGTGTCTGAATTTACAGTTATGTTTTCCTTTTTGACATACTGTATTAACTCAATTGATCTAAAATCAGACAAAAAACATAAAATCTGAGTAAAAAAGTT